AAATATAAATGTTATTAGTATATTTTCTCAATCATCATAGAATACAATTGTTTTTTCGGAGAAAGCAGCCTTTTATTAATACGTTTTCATTATTTTACTGTGTTATTAGTGAAATATTTTTTAAAATATTTTTTTTATTTTACAGTGAATGAGTAGACTTTAAATACATAAAATATTCTTTTTCTATCAAAAATGTCAAGTAAAAAAAACGGTTTTAAAATAAATTAAAATTTGAACATGTCAAAATACTTTAATTACTTTTAAGCATTTATATGCAGTTTATTACTGTCTTAATTGGTCAAATCTCGCAACCAGTATTAATAATTATTATTTATTTTTTTTTATTTAATCATACGACCCTATGGCCATTGGCCTTTTTCAAGGGTCAAAAGAAAAATTAATGATACAGACTTTTACCAAGTATACAATCAACAAAACAACAAAAAAGAACAGAAAAGAAAAATACAATAACATCAAAACAAAAAAAAAAATACACTCAACTAATCACATATCAATTTTTTCACAGCCCGTTTAAATTGTCCGTAAGTACACAGTTCTTTATAATCTTCTTTTAAGGCATTCCAACTATATATAAGTTGATAAATTGGTGCATCTCTTCCAAAACTATGCTTAACCTTTGGTAAAAGCAAGTTATTTCTCCATCGGTAGTTGTAATTAGAAGGCCTAAAATATTTATTTAATTCTTCGCTTATATAAGATTTTTTCTTGCTCACCTTTATTAGTTTAAAACCTTCCAAAAGAACTTGTTTTTTATATAAAGTTTTTATTTTATCAATTTTGATCTGGTTATAAAAAGAAGTGACAGAGGAATCATAAGGCAACTTATATAATGCTCTTATAAAGTTATTTTGTATAACTTGCAATCTATTCAATACAAAAGAAGAAGCTGTACCCCATACAGAAATACCATATCGAAGTTTAGGTTCCATGCAAGCGTGATACAAGCGCAAAACAGTCTCACAATTTAAAAAACTCATTATTCTTTTCAGTATTCCAATATATCTAGATAAAGACAGTGTTAAATTATTTATATGATTGTTCCATCGTAACTTATCATCAATTTCGATTCCTAAATATTTTACAGTATTAACTCTTTGAATACGTTCATTATTTATTCTTACTTGTATATCTTCTAAATTCACTTTTTTGTTTTTATTTGATAAACAAATATAATTTGTTTTATTTTCATTTACTCTTAAGTTATTATTTTCCATGTACTTACTTAATTTAGATAACAAAGAGTTTATATTATTTTCAACCAAATGAATATTCCAATCTGCATATGTTATAACAATATCATCTGCATACAATATAATACTATTCTCAGGAATAGTCTCTACAATATCATTTATATAAATATTAAAAAGTAAAGGGCCCAAAACGGATCCTTGTGGTACACCTTTGTTAACTTGAAATGGTTTTGATATTGAATTTTTTACCTTAACATAGTACGTACGATTTGATAAATAGGATATTAGCCATTCCATATTAATATGATTAATTTTACTTGACAAATAAATTAAAAACTAAGCCTCACATATTTATATTGAACGTTAAATCAGCAACTGAATAAACAGACGTATAAAATTAATTCTGCTCTAGATTTTAAATTTTCGTTTAAAAATTCTGTCATGGTGAAGTTGTTGTAAAACATTTAAAAATTATAAACACACTAGAGAAAACTAAGTAAGTAAGACATGTATTTAAAAGTAATCAGATATAAAATCGTTTAAGAAAAAGAGAAAACTAGAGATATAAATAAATTAATCCCTGTTCTTTTCTCATTGTCTGTATTTATTCTTGTACAAATAAAATCGATATGTGAATAAAATATAAAGTTTGGGTGATTTTATTCTAATAAAAACAATTTTATCTTAAATTATAATTATATTATTCAATCGTATACATTTAAAATTTCAAATTTTGATGTTAGTAGAAACTGTATTATTAACAGAGTTCGTGTAGAGTTGTTTTTTTAATTAGTGATTTTTATTTATTATAATTCTTCTATTTTAAATACGGATAATTCAGAAACGTTGTGATGAGGGAGTTACACCAAGTCTACAGTATATTCGAAATGTCAAAAGTTCTGCATTTGTGTTAACACTTTAATAACGAAAGAAACTCTCAGAATATGCGAAGCGCACTCTATACTTACACACCACGGGATCGAAGGGTCGACTTCGTATCGGCGATAATTAACTCGTCAGGTCTGATACTACTGTATCTTTATGGTCAGACAAAGAAACCTCAATAGACTTCGCTTTTTGCGCGAACGGTTGCATATGTACGTGGTGATCCGTGATGGACAAGGGTTGATAGAAAAAGTGCACTCTACAACTCGATTACGAAAAATACTGCCTGTTTATTTATTATATGAAATTATAAGCTTTAAGCGTGAGAAAAGTTTACAAACGCTCGTGCATAGTATTACTTTTCTTATTTTGACACTTCTTTTGGAAAATAAGACATTGTTTTTGGTAAATACTTGGGGTCACTGGCTATTGGTTTTTAAGTCTCTGTTCACTGACTATTGGCGGAGTATCGGCGGCGAAATGTCTCGGGCCGTGTTCAGTAAATTGCACAGAAAATGCTAAATAGCTGTCTGGAAAGTTAATATATGTAACGGTAGCATACGTATCTACAGTAATTACATTTATTAATGTATCGTGTCACACATGTTAGAAAAATGACCGCATAAGAACATTATATTAACGTAATTAAAAACGGTCCTGCTTCCTAACTAGAAATATTCTCATTTGACAAACGGAAAAATAACTAAAAAACATTTCAAATAAATATTGCTTCCAATACGACATCAAATTCAATTATCTTTAATTTGTTCAGTTGTTTCTGGTATTCTATTTACTTTCTAATTTAAAACTAATCAATGGCAAATTTTCTTCATTGCAAATATAGCATTATCAAATCAAACAAAATAAAAAGGCAGATTAATTACTTTAATTAGTTTTTCGAATTATTACAATGCTAAATTTCGAAGGTACAGTTCAATGTCTAAAAATTGTAAATGGAATTCATGTTTGACTAATCATTATAACAGCCAGAAATAATATTCATATGTCAGATTTTTCCAACATGAAATTAGATACCTCTTAGAAATTTTATTAAAATAAATTTTTTTTTTAATGCATAGGGTTTAATTATATATTATAATATGAATATTTTCTATAAAATAAAATAACCAAAAATTCCTTCTTTATTCCAACATCGATTTAATTCGGTCAAGGATAAATACACACAATGAACAAACAAACAGAAATGAATTGACATAAATTTATATATTAAATTTTTTTATTAAATAATTATATTCCTAATTATCTTTAAATACATAATTTAGTTACCCTACTCTACGATAAATATATTTTTCATGTTTATTTACAAAAATCTTACTTATTAAAAATTTTTTAAACGAAAACTTCATTAAAATATAAAGCAAAACTAATTTTACAGATTATTTGTTGATTCAGTTGCTGATGCCACGTGTACGATATGAAATGCAGAGCTGTGTTTTACTTTGCATGCAAAGTAAAATATAAAAAAAAATTAAAATTATTAAAAATAATTAACTTATTAAAAATTCAATATAACAAGCGAGTCATGAATATGCATTAATTTTAAAAAAGTACTTAAAATATTTTAAAAAAGTTACAATTTTAATTTATTTAAAAAAATATTTTTTTTACAAAATAATAAATTATTTATGACATAGAATTTAAAAAAATAAATTTATTTTATTTACTTTCTGATAATCGTGAATATGTTTAAACAATTAAGGAGTATTTCGATTAAATTTGTAATGTGACTGGGACATGTCTGATGTATAATTACTTGGTATATTCAAATGCAGAAAAGCACATAAAGTTGTAAAAAAAACTATGTACTACGATTTATTTTTCGGGCTGTTAAATAATACAAGAAATGTATGGGTTCGGTCAAAAATGTTCTCCCTAATATTTTTACGTTTGTTTGGGCAGACCATTATACGTAGCAATATGAAGAATAGTTGAGGGTTTTTCTGTATGTATGAATTTTAAGTGTGTTTGTATTTTTTGGGTATAATTTGTTTCTCCAATGTTATGGATGAATAACTGCTGTTCGTTTTGTCAAAAATTTGTGAAATTTCTCACGATGCGAGAGCATCGTGCAAAATTTAAGTAGAAGCAAAGCCTCTTCCATGTTATTTGGAATATTACACAAATTTTCAAGAAAATCAAACCATGGATTCCGATGGTGTGATTCATCATTTTAATATCTGTCATCTCAATACGAAGAATTTTAGTGAAAATGTTAGCAATAATTACAGATGATAACAAATCTAGTGTGTCAGAGAATTCAGCAACAATGTTATTTTCATAACTACTTTAAATCTTGGACTTCAAAATTTTGTTCTTGAAACATGTTGACAAGTACCTTTTACATATAATATATTAAATTATCTTTCACATTAATGAACCATGGCTCTCGATAATTAGTTTATCTTTGAAGATAGTAATAGTTTTAAAAATACTAAAATTATCGAATATATATTTTTAATAAGATGTGGATAATTCTAATTTTTTATTTGAATGAAATACAAATGTAAATCTTGATATGCATCTTTTGTTATACAGTAAGATAGAATAAATTCTGTTTAAAATCTATTTAATAGAGTATTTATACGTTAGTGTCTTTTGCATACGTCCATGAATATTTAAATAAAATATTAATTGTGCTACTTTACAAATAATTCTTGAAGAATTTAAGACAAGAATAGATCCATTAGAAATTTTAAAGTTTAAACTTCCGTATTTATCATTTACAATCAGAATGCAATAATTTAAACCCGGACGAAGTGTAATTGAACAGATGAATAAACAAATATGCGGTGATAAAGTCAATACGTACGTCAAGTATTAACCAATTAGGATTTAACAAAAAACGTATATAAGAGCGCTGAATTACTACTGAAACTACTCCGGTTAGAATTATTCTAATTCTAGACAAGGAACTCAATTCGATTGCAAAGATGAAATTCGTGATGATCCTCTTCTTCGTTTGCATCGGTAAGCAAAAATTACCTTTATTATATTATTATTCATAATATTAATTTTACTATTTAAGTTGAGAGCTGTATATATTTTAATATTAATCTCTTATATTAATTTCAGTATTTTTTAGCAAAATTTTAAAATGTAGTTCATACTTTACAGTTCCTCGTGAATAAACTAATTTAAAGAATAAAACGTGTTAAAATTTTATTATAATTTAATTAAATTTTTTAAACTGTATATTCACTGTCAAATTTTATTTTTAGCAATTTTGAATATTGCCAAAGCACAGCAAGTAAGTATAGATTTTATATACCTGTTAAGTGTTCTGTTTGGTAGTATTAATATATGTATATGCGATAACTTGCCTTTGTTTTTCAATTGTTTTTGATTGTTTATTTATGATACTAATTTAATAAGAAAAATTCCAACAAAGAGTTGCGTAACATTTCAGGTGAAAAACACTAACACGTATGATATAGTAGCAAAAAAATAAAATTCACTGTACCGTCATCATTTATAATATTATGCTAAAGAATTACTTTTATGTCATTAACTATTATAAAATGTAAACACTGTAAGTACTTCAAATTTGGAAATGAATTTTATAAAACAAATGAAAATTGTAGTCTAAATTCTAGTAAAAATTAGTATCTTTGTTACATCCTATTGCACTCGAGACATGATTAAGACAATTTCGTTTTATAATTATGTGAATCATTTTGATAGTCTTTAGAATTACGAAGAACGTTGGTTATATATACGATAAATTCATGTTGATAATTTCATGTTACAGTTTTATTAAATAACCACTTTGACTTTTTTGTAATTGTATAAAACATAAAACGAAATTACTACAGAGAAAGCAAAAAAATTAAACTTTAGAATAATGCAACAATTAACTGAAAATTACTGTACATAATAAGGACACTTGATTAAAAAAATTTACGTAAAATATTTACAACGTTTTAGTACGAATTTTAGTGTGTTTCAAGAAATGACGCAAACATTACATTGTCCACTATAAGTAATAGATATGTATATATCCATGGTGCGGTTTACTTTATATTACTTTTAAAAAATCAATTTTTCAAAAATATTTCCTTAAAATTGATGAAAAAACTTTATGGGTTAATTGTACAGAAATGACCCCCGTTTTTTTGCCTGGACCGCATTTAATCAGAGACAAAGCTTTTATTCGTATTCTTTATTTTCTATGCATTTCGGGTGCAATATTTTTTTTAATTTGCACCCCTCTTCAGGATGTTCACATTTCTATAAATTTGGTAAATTTAATTATTACATCGGTAAATTACTACAATAGTTATACAGTGGTTAACTAACCTGTTTTAAGTTTTAGATCGACATCTGCCCAGTGTTGATGTTATGTCCCATAAGGCATTTTTAGACCGTTTCCCGCTTTTTTTGTTTTCTTTCCCTTTAGCTCCTCCCATTTCCTCCCACACGTCGTCAACCTCCATTCCATCATTTAGGTTTATGGTTTTGTTTCTATTAATGATTTCGAAGTGCTCTTTGAATTTTCGTAGATAAATATCTTTTTATTTATGGATAATTTTTATACTTTTTTCGTTTATTGTGCATCCGAATTTCTTACAGTGATTTGTCCACGGTGATTGGTTAGAATTAAGTCTAATTTTTGCTTTATGTTTTTTAAATCTGGAACCGAATTGTCTTCCTGATTATATCCCATGTAATTAGTATATTAGTATATCGCTATTAACCTAATTCGCGTTCAATTTTTTTCAATGTTAATCCTATCAAATTTTTTTTTAAATAATAATCGTCGCTATTGTATCGTTAAAAATTAGAAAATTAAGCCTCGTTTAAATACTGGCTCCCTTTCATGGACGATCCAGTGTTGCCAGCTTAAACACGTAAAAATAATATTAAAGTAGCCAAGACATAGCCAAATATTGTAGCGCCACATCACTAGCGGACATTTGAATTTGCCGACTAGAACGCCGTCAGCTAACCGACGTGACGGTTAATCGGGGGTCGGATAATCGATGCTCTACTGTAATTCGTTCCGCAGCATAAAATAACCGTACTGTACAATAAAAAAATTAAAATGGAGCAGTCACCAATTATTCACGGTAGTCAGATATTGTGAGTAGGAAGTGGAAAAACACTTTTTTCACACATCCATACAGATATAGACTTTTTACACATTGCAGCAGGTCTCTTTTTATTGTTTTTTAATCGGAGTCAGATTCAGAGAGGCTACCGGAGCTTGCAGGGTAAACTCCTCTTGTTTCATATTTCGTTTTTTCCTTGCTGGCTTCTTGAAAAACATCTCCAATGTGGTCTTTTTCTTTTTCTTCTTCAACATCTGTCGGAAATGACGGGCAAAGGTGTCATTGTAGAGATCATCGGTCCTATTTGCCTCAGCTCTGTTCAGATAATGAGTGTTGTTAAATTCCCGAACCTCTTCCCATTTGACAGGGGAGTTTTTGTCAAGTTTCACTCCTTCTGATAATTTCTTGCCTTGTTTCAATTGAAATCACTTTTCTGTTTTTTTAGAAGCCATGATTTGCGCAACACTTGAATAAATGTAAATACCCTGCACCGAGGTGATGTACGTAATAAACAAGGGAGCAAGTCGAATCCCAACTTGACCTCTGAACTTTAGATATAACTAATAACATGTTTTAATAATAGTAATATATTATAAAAAAAGGAAATTGTCATTGGCAACGGGAAAGAGTGGAAACATCATTCGCACTTGTTCGCAGAAAGTACGTTGTTCGCCTCACGTAACTGCCGAACGAAAAGCTCGTTGTTCGCAGCGTCTGTTATTCGAGGCACCACTGTACTCCTGTGCGTTCATCGTAGCGCCAGAGTGCTGACTCTACGAAATTTCAGTAAAAGCTTGAATATGCAACGATTGTTATAAAAAACGATCTCATGTTGTTGTTAAAAAATTATTATAGGCATTTCTATTGTTAATTATCACATTTACTTGTGTTATATCAGCTTACGTTATGGTTTCTCAAAAAAAAAAAAATGATTTTGTTTTGGGTTTGGGGATGCAAGAATTAACTTAACTTTATTATTTAATGAAAAATTGCTTTAAAACTCGAAATCCATGCAGGAATAAATTGATTTCTAGTTTCGATGTATTACAGAATATATAAATTTAACTGTCAATATATGGGCGCTTTTGAAAATATTATGCAAAGTATAAGCATTGGAATGTTATGAAGTTTTATTTAAATCTATAAAATTTTTATTTTTTAACATTTCATTAAATATATAAACATATATTTATGAAGATAAATTAAATTCTAATTTATATGGATGGTATATGTTCAAGTAAGATAAATTAAAGCAATGTATTGGATATTTTTATTCAAAAAGTTAAAAATTTTTATATAAGATAGATTTGATTATATGAATGTATGCATGTATGTGTATATTAATATATAAATAATATTTAATAGGCTACACAAACTTCTGGAAGTGGAAAACAGCCTGTAAGTAATGATTTTATATAAATTGATATTAAAATTCTTAGTATAGAAATTTTATAACATAATATATTAATAAGAAAAAACTTATATACTACAAATTATTTTTATTTCATATAAAGACACGAATAGATTAATAAAATAATTTATCATTGAAATAAAATGACATTAAATGAAGCTTTTCAAACATATTATCAATTATTTCTTACGTTAGAACTCAAATCTTTATTTTATGACGACAATTTAATTTAGTAAAATAAATCATTTTGTCTGAAACCTTTCATAACGAGAATGATTTTGCCAGTTTATGTTCTGAATAGGAAAACAAAACGCTAAAACAATGTTTCAAACTTTTACATTTCTTCCCTTCAATTATATAAAAAATTCTTTTCAAACATTCGGATAATAAACCACTTTTTGTTTATTAATGTTTCTGTTAATTCTATACCTGTTAAAATTTGATGTCGAATAAAATTTTTTACACGCTAATTAATTATTTACTTTAAAATATTTTATCTATAGAAATTTCATACTGTTTTAGGATTACAAGTGTCAATTTTGTTTACAGATATTGTGGAAATTACTTGTAATTTCCTACATCTACTAAATGTGCAACTTTTTATTTACAAATTTTTTACTTTTAGACTGTCATAGATGCATACTGTGATTTAGATGAGCAAAAGTTTATTCGATGCTGAAAAGTTATCTAATAATAATTCTCTACTAAACATAATATCTTTTATTATTTTATGTTAAAAAACCGATATGCATATAAATATTAAACCTGTGTTTTTAATTGCTAAAACAATTTTTACACAATTTAAAAATTAATTCTTGTATACAATAAAAGAAAAGTATTAAATAGTCAGAGGTATAAGCAAATCACAATAGAAAAAAATGCTGCAAAGTTTACAAATTATTGTAGGTCACTATTGTAACTTATTCCATGCTGTACGAGGGTTAATAAAACACAATCTTAAAGCAGCTATAAATCGAATGTTTGGTGAAGCAGATAGGTATAAAACATTTTTCATCACCAACCAAACAAGCTCAAAGCGACATCCTCTGCTGAAAAAGTGATTGTTAGGAAATTTTCATACATCATTTTTATTGATTGCATGAAGCGAGGATACACAATCATTGCTTCTCGATATTTCACTCACTAAAACATTTGTGTTAAAGAATCCAACGAAAGCACCTAGCCCTGCCAGTAAGAAATTAATTCTGTTGCACAATAATGTCAGGTCTCACACTGCTTTTCACACAAAAATTGTTTCAAAAATACAAACGGAAACTGTGGAGGCATTATGTCTACGATCTGATCTGGTCCAAAGTAAATTTTATTTGTTTTTTTTCGAAAATCATTATCTCGCACACGATTCCATGGTGGCGATGACGCAAAATCAGGTGCAAAAACATGACTACAATTTCAGGGACGTGACGTTTTTCAATTTGGAATTGAAAAGCTGGACATACACTCAGATAATTGTCTAAATCATTAAGGTAATTGTGTTGAAGAAAGGATCACGTATAGATAAAAAACATGTTATATTCATTTGTTACATGAAACATGTTTTTAAGATCAAGTATGTATCTTTTTATTGTATCAGCCCTAGTATATCGAAACAACGGAAAAGCCGTTAATAAATGATATTGTTGGAAATTGTAGAAAAATTATCTTTATAATACAATATCTTTATCAATAATCGTATCTTTATATCATATGTGGATTGTAGAAGGGGCCCATCGATTATTGCCAAATAACGACTTGTCCAAAGTAAACTAGACAATTTACATACTTACGAAGTGACACTGATGTTTATTCGAACCGTAAGAGTGTCCATTTTAGTAAAATCTTGATTTAATAAATAAAAATCTAAATCCTATAGAAATAACCTATAAGGAATATTCATAAATGATGTCCACACAGAACAAAATCGATCAAGAGGGAAGGCAATTAAGGAAACTTGGGTTAATGGGAGAGAAGATATCAAAATTTCATCAAAAATACGAACGTAAGTAATTGACAGCCCCGAATACAAATTTATATTGTAAAGTGTAATAATAAAAATAATAGAAAGCATGTCCCCCTGGCCGTTATAGGCGATCCAGTACTTCACTTGCTTCATTTGCTTGCTGTTAGACTTCACCCATTCGTTCCCAATATAGATTATACATACGAAGAATTTTGTGTCAATTTAACAACCCTCAGAGTAATCTTTCTTTTTCTTCTTCCCCTCAAGCTATCACGGAATAGCGGCCCAACGCTCTCATTCTCGCTTGCTGGACTTCGTTCAATCCCCATTTCATTCGCTCGTTGACCCCACAGATTTCGTTTACTTTACCAAATATCATATAATGTTGCATACATTTCCCATGCTTTCGTTTCAATATTTTTTATGCGAGAGTTGTGTTGTAACAATTTCATGTTAAATATTATATATATATAAATACAGTAGTTGCAAATTCCCTAATTTTATGATTATGAAATCACATTAAAATACCGATAGTTTTTAAATAAATGTTTTTAATATTTCGAAAATATTACAAATATCTTTTTGTATTTAGTAACTGAAAATTTTTCAAAAGTAAAACGACAATTTAGCTAATGATTTTCCAATAGCTGTAAAACAAAAATGAAAATAAATTTTTCGAAAGAAAATTACTTTGGATAAATTTATTTTTATTCTTATACATAATTTATTTTGATTATACTCAAAATTAAAACCGTTAGAGTTTTATTTCGTGTTATGATATTTTCCAACTTAGTGAAAAATTACATAACAAAACGAATTCTTCTTAAATATGTTAATTAAAAACATGAACTAGACTAATTACATTAGCGTGGATAGTCTAGTTTGTATTTTTAATGAACATATTTAAGACCGCAGTAAATAATACAATACAGTAGATCCCCCTATAAGACAGTAGATACGTTCCGTTCTTTATGAATCAAGTTTGTAGGAATCATAGTTTACGGACTACGGCTGTTTGAAAGGTTTTCTTTCATAAAATTAATCGATTCTAGACTAATTCGACTCAACATTTCCAAAATACGTATATTTTTTTGAAAATAATCCGTATAAACTACGTTATAAACAAAAAATTGTAGGATTGCTTACCGAGTGTGTACCGTTCGACTATGCCCGTTGCTAAAGCTTGGTTTCGTCGCGGAACAGCACACGAAACGGCGGCCGCGATTTCTGATATTATTTTTCTGCGAAAACTTCGTTGACCTTTGGAGACATCCTTAATATAAATAATTTTTATGGCCGTTAAATAAGAAATGTTTCTTTCACAAGAAATGTATAAAATTACAGTACTGGACAGACGATAGGTCGCCTAACTCGCTGTAGCGTGACGCTAGATAGCGAAAAATATATATTTAATTATAATAAAGTTACAATAAATTAAGTTAATATATAATTATATATACAGTACCTAATTTATATATAATTATATGAACAGACGATACTAAACTCAATTTATCTGCCTAAACGTCCGTAGCGTGGCGCTACGGACGGCGGGAAAGTAGTTCGGCTGCCCGATGACGTTTTACGTATTATAGGAGTTATTTTTACCGTTGTTTACGGATACTGCCACAATTTTTATAGGAATCATAACTATAGGAAACGGTTTTATAGGGGGATCTACTGTATACGATATATCTAATGGTAATTGGATAATAACATAAAAATAAAAAATTAAATTTGTAAAAGTAAGAATCCATGATATAGAAGTTTTTCAAAAACACGTACTGTACGCAGACTGTTGATATAAAGGCGTCTTTACTCGTCTTCTCACCATTTTTCTTTTACATAATTTACTAACACGCTAGCTTAAAATAGAAGGTCAAACCTAAGTATTTTAGATTAGTTTTAGGTATGTAAAAGACAAGAAAACACGATTTGTAGGAGGTCCTTGTTTGGGTTTTTAAAGAATTTTAGTGATTTTTACGTTTTTAAATGTATTTTTTCCACATTTAGCATAACTCAGTTTTTATACTGCTGAAGCAATGAGGAATGACATTATCTGATACTTAAATAACAGCGAGGTTGCACCCGACGTTTTCAGCTCTAAAACGTGAACGTCGAACGTCGAGCGCCACTTACAAGACAGCATCGCTCGGCGTTCGGCATTGACGTTTTACAGATGAAAATTTCGCTGCACCCTCGCTATTATATATTTCATCGTACATGTACTTGGTAGGATATAATAACAAATTTTTACCGGTTGAAACTGTTGTTTTTTATATTGTTTAATATTATATATCTATGGTTAGGTTTTCATGAGCTAACTTTACAAATCGGATGGTGCAACATGATATAAAAACAAAAAACAAAATATTGTATGTACAAAAATATACACGGTGGACTTGACTTCTATGAAGGAAGTAACACTCGTTCCCTTTGAAAATTTTTCTAGCAGCGATTTTTTAAACTAGCAAATTTCAGAATTATGTCGACCTTTTATAATTGTCCTATAAAATTTATTTATTTTAAAAATAGAACTTAGTATTTCTTCTTCTATTATTGTTTATTGAAAAGACGATAGATAAATATTAAATTAATTTAACAATTCACTTAGGTATTAAAGGATTATAATAATTCAGCTTTACTTCGTCTTTCTGTTCTTTTATTATCATATTATATTAGTCGGTGAAGCTGAAGAAGAAAAAGATTATATTAGTCGGTATTTCTTTATTGAGCTTCTTGTTCGATTTTTACTATTAATTTACTGAAGTTTTATTTCAGTAAATTAATAGTGTTTTTCCCTAAAGTTATCACAACGAGTAATATAAAATATATCTCCGTATTTATACCTTACTAGTTGGTATTTGTTTATCGATTGTGCCATCAGCAGTAAGTTACTTGTTTTCAAATCAATTTTAGATAGTGTTTTAACACCTACAATATCAAATATAATTTCTTCCCTTGTCAACTGCTGTCTTTATTATTCGCTTACACGATTTTATCTTCCTCTTGTTTTCAAAAAGCCATACTACTGCAAAAATTCATAAAAATTTTTACATAAACATTATACATTATTTGCATAAACACAATATGACCCAGGATTATTGTTATTTGATGTTGTAGTTAAATATCATGAATAGAGGCAGATTGTATTCATAGTAATTTTCTTTAGGTAGATATTATTAAAAATTGTTGTCATCGTTTTATTGTGAAAGTGCCAAATACTAAAGTAAAAGTTCTGAGTTTTGATCATTTTTAACTTTTTGTCAATTTTTTAATAATTTATAGCTTTTGTTTTAATGAATATTTTATTAAATATTCAAGCAATTTGCTGTTATTTCTCTGTTGGTCTGCGAAAAGGATAAAAAGAATAGACTCGAAAAAAGTATATTTTTTTTATGTACTGTACGTCTTCAAATAATGATAATCCTGGGTCATGTCGTCTTCATGCAGATAATGTATGATTTTCATGCATTAAATATTTCTGAAGAAATTGCATTAATTAAAGTAATTTTTGATTTAACACTGTAAATAAGTATATCAACTAAATAATGAATATTTCACATTGTTTGCATGAGCTTAAGAATGATGGTTTATAGAGTTTTTTTATTATGAAATTTATCATATAGTGTTTGTTGTTACATTTGGAAGAGAGATAAACATAAACATACTCTAAACCGTATTCTAAAAATGCTTCGATAATAATATAAATGTATTATACATTACTTTTCGAATGAATGATATCATTGCTCAGTAAACAAGTTGTCTGCCATTTCAGTTCATACACTCTGGATTTTAAATAATAACTTTAAAATGATGATACTTTTCCTCCTGTATTCATCTACTTGAGTAATTGATTGCACAAACTTATGTTATATGTATTATACGTAAATCGTGAATTTGTCCTGACTATCAAAAGAAATTAAATACTCATAGTGGACAAAAAAATTATAGAAATTCTAGATGTAATATTTGTTCTTAAAATCATATAAAGTATAACAACTACACGTAAAGTAAAGTAGAAACCATCTACAGATTATTTTAACTACTTATTGCATTCTGATGTTTAAATATTGATATATTTTCAGCCTGAACTTCGAATAGAGAAGATATAATGTTACAGAATTAAATAGTTTTATATTACTTCCGTTTACTGATATTGCTCAAAGAGACTGATTTGCAGCTCCAAACGTACAATGAGTGATACATGCTTGAAGCCAAATGAGAATTTGTGTATTGTATCAAACTTTTCTAAATGAAAATAACACTGATACTTTTAAATCTTCGATTACTTTTTAGCTGTTTTTTGAATCAAATGTTATCCATGCATGCAGTGCAGTGCGTATTCCCAAAAATATTTTCAATAAGAGTGACATTTTGTGCGCTCCTACTAGTTAAAAAGAAATTTGATAAATAATATCTAAACTTATTATTCAAATGTTTTCTTACGCTGTAGTAACGTTACTTGTCATAGGTGCATAGAATAACGAAAACCCTATAAAAACATTCTTTATCCATACAAAAACGAACAAATACAATTATAAATAGAAGTTAGAATTGTACACGCATATTTTCGAAACAATGTTATTTAACTTACGTTTATTGCAGTAGAAAATTTGAAAGTGAAAGAGTGACACCTTGATTTCTTATGTGGTGTACATGAGGAAATACTAATTACTAACTAAATACTAACTTGAGAAATGTAACAAAGCAAATATGTACTTGTATATAAAAACGAAATTACGTTTCTATCTCTGGTCTCCTATCCGATTTTATCTAACTCCATTCTCGAAAGATAATCAAGACAGTCAGTCAAACAGACAGACAGTAAATAGTTGAAATTTATACGTCTACAAAATTTTCAAATTGCCGCCTAATAAAATGTTTATTTCTACTTTCTTTGTTAAAAGTTTAAAAAGAAAGTTTAAAATTAGTAGGGAACAAAACTTTGAGTAGAGTGTAATGACTGAGCACTTATCTCTCTGTCTAATTCGATTTAAATTATCTAATACTACAACATAATGCATTGTAAGAAAGTATGTACTTGATAAATTTAAACACGATTGGTAAAGCTTCAAATGTCTCATATGATGAAATTTAGGAACAATCGTTCAGGAAACATAAACATTAAAACTTTACGTTAATTTTAGAACATCGACATCTTGACATTTTGTAAATTTTCTGTATAATAATCAGCAGTAAGCCCTGAGAAAAAGTGAAGAGAGAGGAAAAAAATATGACACTTGGTTGTAGAGCAGAAGTCCAAAAGTGAACAATGAAGGTTCTCTTTTGGACAGTCTTGGTTAATAAATAACGTATTTTAACCCGTGTCTTACACCGCCGTTTTATATTCTTTCCTCTCGTAGTGTAACTGTGATTCCCATATTCCTTGTAAGATTTAAAAAGATATTTTTCAAAAGTCTATTAAGATTTCAATCGTGAATCCAGAGCAGACAAAGACAACACTGAAGTGCATAATCATACGTGTGCACCAATACACATTTATGCATTTGAAAAACAAAACTTCTTGAAAAGAGTTGCTTCATTCGAACTAGTTAAATGTATCTTCGCACGGTAAGAAGCATTATAAAATACAATTTACTAAAAGACTTTATAATGAAAAATAAGCTTCATGTAACATTAATTTTATACTGAATTAATATTGTTTTTAGTTTGAATTTAGTCGTTTAAGTTAAAACATTTATAATTTAAAAGATATAATAAATATTTTATAAGCATACTAAAATTTAATGATATACAACAGCACAAAGAAACAATAATTTTGTTATGTATAATAAGATTAATTATAATATTACGTTTTTACTCAGTGAAAAGTGTTAATAAGTTTTATATTAAGCGTTCGAAGTTAAAATTTTATAATTTAAATGAATTAACGAAATTTTATAAAAATACTAATGATAAATGAGGTGAAAATTAAACGTATTTATTAAATTTTTAATATTAACATTTATTCTGAAATATGACTAATCATATTACTTTCTTTTAGGATCCTATGAAGGTATGTGTAACTTTACTAAATATTTATATAATCATTATTTACTTTTTAGATTTAATACTAAGACGTCGCGCAACTTTATTATATCGCGATATAATTGAGGATAAAGCGAAAAAAAGCGATTTTTGCAATTCCTTTGTGGAGAAGAAACGATAAATGCACTTGCTGACACAAAAAGGCGATCGAAACGTGTATAGTTTGCTTTTCGCGCTTATTTTCCGTAAGGCACACGCAATGACGTTCTCATTATTGTGCAAAATTTCGTGGTACCTCTGTATGTTAAAAACGAAGTCATAGACCCTATTGTTTTCTTGAATTTTTGGATTCCTCGACGCAATCAATTTGAAATGGCACACCTTTATGAAAATTCGTCAAACGGATTTTTGATAACACAATTCTGTATGCCTCACAGAACCTGCTTCGCTGATGCTCCACTTGAATAATATAATATTACACACAGTCATAAAATAGACTTAATGAATTATCAATACACTTTCTTTTGCTGATAAATATTTATTAAACAAAACAATTAATAGTGACATTTCATGGGCTCCTATTAGGTTTTAGGTGTAACTGAATTCGAACGTATTTTTAAAAATTTAATGTTTTAATGATAGGATGTCCGAACGTGAAACAAAATTGTCTAAAAAACACCCATCCGAAGAATAATAACTTTTTTCAGTTTCAGTCAGATTTCTTTCTTATACTCCAAGCTCGTTTTATTTTGAGCTAAGTAAGCTATATCCACGGAATGCCATACATCCAAAGACAATAAATAACCAAATATCTTGACTTTCGTTTATTCGAATTTAAATAAAAATTCTATGTTTAGCTCAAATCAAAACTAAATTGTTATAAGAACTATAGATGAATATTATTAGTATGTTTCTTCAGCTAACAAATAGTCATTAATAATATTTTCAAGATGTTCAAATCGTAATGATTGGTTGATTGCCTTTGTAAACCCAATAATCGAATGCACATTCGCCAATATAAAAAAATCTGTACTAATCATATTAAAGTGTTGTTTTCACCAATTGTATTGAGAAGAGATATATTAACCAATAAATAATAAAATAATATACACAAAATTGCATCCAATTATAAGTGCAGATGCAGACTAAGACTTTTTATATTTCGATTTTTTTATGTAGAATTTTCATTCAAAATCTAGTCCATTAGCGTTCCTTACATGAAGACAATCATCTTTTAAATTTACTTTCATAAATATGAATCTTTTCTCCGTTCATTAGAAATGAACGAATGGCACAGAGAATAGTGACCTCATTCCATTTAACCACAGAGTTCTCTGCTTGTGCCATATTGGACAAAACTGAGTTGCAGTGCCTTTTATTAATATACTATACGTGCTCCATAAGTCTAATAGCTAACTTTCTTCTTGTGACCTCAATACAGTCTTTTAAGGTTCTTAATTATTGATTTTTCGTAAAATTTTATATAAGCCCACTTTATCCTTTTAAAACATGTCTTTATCATTTCTCTGAATACTATATAAATTTGGAGCTGTTTTGTAAACTATTTTGAGGTGGTTTTCCGATACTTGTTTTAATTGTATTTGATGCTTATATTATAATTGAACTTAACGATTTTAAATTGAATAGTTTGGGTCCTTTTTTGCTTTCTGCATATGTTCTAACTAGTCTTTGTAAATAAAATAAAAAAATAATAATGTAATATTTTTAATATAAAAAACTTTTGATAAACAATATTGAATTATTAAATATTTACTGATCATTTTCTTTGTACTTCTCCGGGTATTGTTGTCTTTTGTCACACTCCAAGCTCTGTGAAAAATTAACTGATGTAGAATAAATAAGTGTATATATATATTTATTTATTT